TGCATTTAGATTGGGTCTGCCCTGCCCTACCATGTCTCGTCTCATATGTCCAGATTGGAACCTGCTGCTTCCACTCTCCTTCCCCTCCCCCCATGCATCTGGATCAGGGTTACTCTGTTCCCATGCTTCCCCTGCCCCAACCCTGTGTGTCCAGACTGGGACTGTCCTGCCCCTGCCCCTGTCCCCATCCTTCGCATTTGGACTGTGACATTTGCTGCTTCCATCCCCCCACCCCCATGTTTGGATCGGGGCTGCCCCACCCTGCTGTGCCCTGGGTGGATGGATCAAGATTAGGCTGTGCAACTGCTTACAGCCAGATTTGCCCCATTAGCTGGATCCAGTCCACAGATGGACCTGGCACTGCCCATCTGGCCTGTGGGGCAAAAAGATTGGGCATCACTGATTTTAGACAATGATTCTCGACCAAGGTGCGTGGGCACCCTGGGGTGCCACGAGATCCTTTGAAGAGTGTCTCAAGGTGAGAGGAAATAATCTGAGAATGCAGGCTCAGGCTTCTCCCTACCTGGACAGACCCCCTTCCCCCACTGCCCAGCTTCTCTGCAAGGAGGTAAGCACTGTAATAATATATAAAATAGTTTTTTGAAATTGGGTGCCTTTCAATTCACAAAAATTATGGAGGGATGCCTTGAGTCCAAAAAGGTTGAGAACCACTGGTAAGCTAGGTGTTCCTGTTGGCCTTTTCTCTTAGTATGAGCCCCAAACTGATTTAACTGAAATGGCTGAATGACATTTAAAAGCAACAAAAAGTCTTTTTTTTTTTGTTTAACTCAGTGAATAACCACCTTGCGGAGCACATTGCTGCAAGATGCTGAAACCAAAGGGTTTGGTAGGATTCGCAAACAAGGAAATATTTACCTAAAAAAACCCTCCACAGTTGTTACAGATAAGTTTATGAACTGTCTCACTTCATGATATGACCTACCCTAAAATGATGGAAAAAGCTTGTGTGTAGAATAAGAAACTTCTTTTGTGGAGAAGCTAGTCCATAATTGCCTGGGTTTGTTTCACCTTTCTTTGAAAGGCACTATTTCCTGACCATGTTGAAGGTACAGTACTAAAGACCTAGTGCTAAATAGGTCATTTGTCTGATATGGCGTGGCAACTTCTGTGTTCTTCTTTGTAACTTATAAATCTTCGTCACTTGTCTGTCTGTCACTCTCCCTCTCTCAAGAGCTGTTAACGTGGCAAATTCTAAAATTCATTTTATGAGAACCAGTTCTTTCTAATTGCAGTGCTGTTTTTTTTACGCAGACTGTATGATAACACTCCTACAGCTTAAAACACCAATGGCTAACATGGGCAGATGTTTATATTGGGTAGCTGCCACTAGCCATTTACCATCCTTGTAGATCTCAGTGACAAAGGTATTGCTTATGTCAGATTAAGCATTTTAGCTATTTCATGTAGCTTTAGCTGTTTTAATCAGTTTCACAGCTAATGCTGCCTCTCACATTGTCAAGTTTTTAGTGTCCAGCCCACGCTTGGTCTATTGCTGTTTGCTGAAGTGGGCTCCATCTTCACTCACAAATACTGAGCTGTGTTTTACTCTTTTGCAAACCCAGTACATACATATTATGGAGCATTCACTGGAACTGTCTAATGTAGTTTCTCATTTGACCATCAGATGGCCACAGATGCCTACAATACTTAGCTGCTGCTGAAGTTTTGAACCCAAGGAGTAGCAGAAAATGTGAAAAATTCCCTAAGTGTGCACATATATGGCAGTGATGTTGATGGGTACAGAACAGATCTAGGGAAACTTGTTTTCATTAACTGCTTTTCCACTAAACCAGAGGTTCTCACACTGTGGTACACATACTGCGCGAGACCTCTCTGGGGATACGCAAGAGAAATTGTGTAATGTTATAATGAAAATTAAATCTGCCAATAATAATTGACATTTAAAGGGTTAATATATAAAACTTGTGCAGGTAGGGGTACAAGGCAGCTGGCAAGTCTGGAAGGGGGTACACAATAAGAAAAAGTTTGGGAATTGCTGCATTAGAAGTTTAGCTAAAGCCAAGGGGTCTGGCACTGAGGTTGCATGGAGCACAATGTACTTTCACTGTCATAGGACCATAAGAAAGTAGGTCTGAAAGGGACCTTGCATGTAGTCTAACGCCATGCTCAAGGCAGGATCATCCCTGACTAAACCTTCCAAGTATCTGTCCAACTTTCCACAGATTCTCTAGGTAGCCTGTCCCAATGCTTGGCTACCTTTGTAGTCAGAAAGTTCATAGTTTCATAGTTTCTAGGGTCAGAAGGGACCTGAGAAGATCATCTAGTCTGACCCCCTGCCATTGCAGGAAAGAGTACTGGGGTTAAATGACCCCAGCAAGGTGTTCATCTAACCTCTTCTTAAAAACCCCCAGGGTAGGAGCCTGCACCACCTCCCTTGGAAGTTGGTTCCAGACCCTAGCCGCCCTGACCGTGAAATAGCGCCTTCTGATGTCTAACCTAAACCTACCCTCTGCCAGCTTGTGACCATTGTTCCTGGTCACTCCTAGCTGTGCTCGGGAGAACAGTGACTCCCCCAGTGCCTTCTGATCCCCCCTGACCAGTTTGTAACAGGCCACAAGATCCCCCCTCAGCCTTCTCTTGTGGAGGCTGAACAGGTTCAGGTCCCATAGTCTCTCC